TTAAAGATATTTGGGCATAGAAAAAAGATCTTTTGCTTCAAATATATAGACTTGAGAAGAAACTTTGGAAGCAAAAAGCTCATTTGAAATGGATCAAAGGAGACAGTAATACACATTTTCTTCATTCATATGTCAAGATAAGGAATACGTAGTAGAAGACACAAGATTACATCCATCCTTGACTCAGCAGGTAACACTTTAAACAACATGTTTGATCTACCTACTCTTATACCCACCTTATACCCACCATGTTTGTGAAGTGTTTTTTTGTCTATGAACCCGGTTCATAGACAATATTTTGTTTGTGAAGTGTTTTTTTTGTCTCTGTACCCCAGTTCACAGACAAAAATCACTTCACAATCATAGGTGGGTACAAACATCATCTTTGCACTTTAAATACCTTACCGGAAATTGGGGCTGCAGCAGTGGACCTTTTCTTATCTCTTTACTCAATAGGAGGTGAAGTCACATCCAATCAGATCTTATAATATATTTCTAGAATTGCTACTCAGGAAGAGAATAGTAAACTCATTCAAATGACAACTGAGGAGCAAGTTAAGCATGCAATATGGGAGCTAAACCAAAACAATGCACCAGGACCTGATAGGTACAACAGAAATATTTTCAAAAGATGCTAGTTCGCTGTTGGTTCAGATGTGATCAAGGTTGTCCAGGATTTTTTTATGGGCCATAATACACCTCAAGGAATTTCTAGTGCTCTTGTTGTTTTGATTCCTACATTTGACATGCCTGCTACCTTTTCAGATTTGAGACCTATATGGATGTTTTTACATGGACTGTAATTTGCTGGTCTGATATGATCTTGTCTGGTAATGTCTAGTCTCTTTATATTTTTATAACTATCCAAGTATGGTCTGGTTTGGGCGGATTATAGTCCAAGTAAAAACATCCTATGCCTATCCAATTTCATTAGTAAGGTTTGTATAAGAGTCCTTACTTCAGGGCTTAGTACCATTCTACCAAAGATTATTTCTAAGGAGCAAGCAGGTCTTATGGCAAACTGATAGACAATTTAATAGTCCTTGCAAGTGCACAAGTCGTGGTAGTATAGTGCTAAGTAAGGGTCGAATCCACGGGAAATGCAACTAAGTAATTGGAAAACTATTAGTAAAAATAAAAATGAAATTAATCAAACGAAAAAAAATGAGTTTCGAATTTGTTTGACTTGAAACTGAAAGGCAATGCTTGAATTAAAATGGATGCAAGAAAATTAAAGGACTAAAAATAAAGTGATTGAACAACTAAGACAAAAACGACGAGAATTTAGCAGGATAAAAGGTAGTCCAAGATCATGAATCAGTCGCTAATTTTTAGTATTTGTGATTTAAATAGTCAATTAGAATTGAGGGGTCGTTCTAAAAAAATACTACGTATATGACTATTCCGTATGGCATCCAGAATAAGTCATGTACCTTAACTATTAATCAATAAAATGTTATTAATTAAATAGTTAAAATCCATTAATCACAAAAGAACTACGGAAACCCGATTTAATAACCAAACAAATAACCTAACAAGACAGCCAAACTATCTATTTTTTATCCAAAAGAGCTCGAATTAATAGGCATGACATGTACTCTATTAATCCACTCAAACAACTTAATTAATCATATTAAAATTGGCCAGAGATTAACATAATCAACTAAGCGAATAAGAACAATGGATAAAACTCAACCAATTTACATAACTAAAAACACAATTCATACTAAATCATAGCAACTTCATCATAATCAGGACTTAAAGAATTTAGCTACTCATATTGAAACTGGCTGAGAGTAAAACAACAATAATAAAAGAGTTCATCTTGAACATTTAACAATTAATAAAATAACAAGTACTGCCCATTCCCAAACAACTAAACCAAAGCAAGTTTGATGAGTAACGTGCAGATCAAGATCAAAAGGGAATATTGCTGAATCAAACAAGATTTTTTTCAAAGCACTAACTAATTCCTTCCTCCAGAGAGTTGCAGCCTGAAGTCCAGTTGTCATCCCTTTAACTTTTCCTTTCTTTGCTGATGCCATATGAGTTAAGAGGAGTAACCCTCTTTCAATTTTTCAACAGCCTTTGAAAAACCTCGCAATCAATCCAAAAGTACTCAAGTCATTCAAATAAAATCCTTACCTGCAAAAGTCATTTTTAAGACAAAAGTAAGATTAAAACCTTTCATTAGGCAAATAATAAGTATAGAATTGTGACAAAAATTAATCGCACATTCTAACTTATCACAAACAGATACATAGTAGACCCAAATATTGATTGCTCGAGAAATGATTCACTGCATTGATAAAAAGGTCAAAGACTTTAATATGGTGTTCAAGTTAGATATGGTTAAGACTTTTGATAAAGTGTCATTTTGTATTTTGTTCGAGTTTAGGTTGTCTCCCGCTTTTGTACACTTGATTATGAATAATTTACAGTCCACTTGCTTGTCAATTTTGGTTAATGTGGCTCCACGTGTTTTTTTTAAACCTAAGAGAGGGGTTATGGGGCACTAAACCCTTTTCTTTTCATAATAGCCTCAGAAGAATTCTCTGGGGGGTTTTAAGTAGCATATGGAAATATGAAGGATTAAACTATACTGGATGGGAAGATATGGTTATCCTATATCTCATGTAGGGTATGTTGATGACTTGCTAGTGTTCTTATGTGGTGATTCAAGGTCTTTACTTAACTTTAAAGGCTTTTTGACAAGTTATCAGAAACCATTAGGGGAAACAGTTAACTTTCATAAAAGAGCTTTCATAGCTGGTAAAAGTGAAACAGTTGGATGTCGGATTTGAAGGTTTTGTGGTCGAGACTGATGTGGAGGAGCTCATGGAGTTTATCTCAGCCAGGCAGGAAGCTCGATGGTCTATTTATCAATTTTTTACCAGACTAATATGTTGCCCCATTTAGTTTGAAAGGTTTTTTATATTGATTATTATGGTGTTTATGATTTTCGTTGTATTTAAATTGGGTAAGGTACCCCCATTTTCTTTGGTTTTTGTCATTGTGACATTGTGTTGTATTTGGAGAAGGAATACCTTTTTGAAGAGGTCTTGTCCTAGTCCTCCTCTTTGTGTATATTTTTATTTTGCTTACTAAAACTTAGCAAATGTTCTCCGGTATTTGTCCCACCGACATACGTGGTTTGCCTACTGGGACTAAAAAAGGAGCTTCTGGGCATGCAAATTTCTTCTCATCCAATTAAGTACCTGGGAGTGAACCTGCACAAAGCTTCGTGGTAATCTAATTAAACAGTTTGAAAACGAGCTCTCACCTTGAAAGCAAAAGAACCTCTCACAAGGGGGTCGACTTATTCTCATTAAACATGTCTTGAACTCAATCCCACTGCATGTTTTAGCAATTGACAATCTGCCCAAAAAAGTGATTAAGGTTCTTAATAGCAAAATGGTAGGAAAATGTATTTCTCCCCTTTTCATACTCACAAAGGCGTCATAACAATTTCTCCCCTTTTTGGCTCACAAAGGCGTCATAACAATTCCCCCTTTTTAGGCTGGAAATGGTAGGAAAACGTATTTGCTACAAACAGTCATTTATTTTAAAAAAAAATGGGTTTTAATTTATTGTTGCGGTTCGAAACCGCAACAAATTACTAGAAGCAAAAAACTGTCACGCCCCGGATCTATCGGACATGTCAACAATCCGCCGTACAATACGAATAGTCAACCGCAGTCCAACTCATCCATATTGTACAAGGCGTCTTGTATATCATTCACACATAGTACATCCATAAACAAACATAATGTAAAATATTCATTTAAAGCAGCGGAAGTAATACAACAAGTGTTCAACCCACACTTGGCAACCATGGGCATACAAGCCCCCAAATAATTATTCAGAAAAATATTATCCATGAGTAGTGTTGGACCCGGGCCGGGTCAAGGCCCGGTCGGGCCTCGGGTCTTATAAGGGTAGGCCCGGGACCGGGCCGGTCAATGACCGGTTCCGGTTCGGGCCGGGCCACCCGCCCGGGTCACGGGTCGGGCCACCCGCCGGGCCGGGCCAGGCCAGTACATTTTTTTTTAATTAATTATATATTATACAAATTGCTATTAAAAACAAAGTTCAAGTGCATTTATTTGAAATAAGAACTACATTTGAGAATTGAGAAAAAATAACAATACGAAATACATTTTGTAATGAATATCAATTGGGATTTCCGCCACCGTTGCTTGTTGTTTTCCCTTTGTCACATGACTTCATATGTTTTATTGGCATCTCGTATCCGTATGAACGCCCCAAGCAACAGTCTTTCTTGCACCACCTGCAAGTTGCCCACCACAGTCCGGTCTTCGGGTCCTTCCACTTGTCAAAATTGTTTTGCATAAGGGAAGATGTACTTTCCATATTTAAAATGGTATATGTATAAGTAGGAATGTAGGATAATAAGAGAAGATGAAGATGGAGAAGAGTTTGAGAAGAATTGGAGAAGAGGTGTAGAAAAATGTTAGAAAATAGATGTATTTATAGATGTTTTTGAACCCCACTCCCCACACCACCACCCCCGGGACCCCCCTGCCCCCCACCCATAGCCCCAACGGCTATATAGCCATTTGGGAGGTTTGAATTAATTTTTTTTTTAAGTTATACACATATTGTAAAATAAATTAATTAATTTAATGAATTAAGTAAAACTAATACTATTTGTACTTAGAAAAGTGGTTTGATTTATAATTTACAAATGTTACAAAATAGGTGTAAAAGTATTTAAACAAATTACATATTGTAAATGTATTTTTAATTTAAAAATCGGCTTTATATTTTAGAAAAATAATTTTAAGTCGTTAGATTGTAACCAATTAATTAATTTGAGAAGTGCTACATATGAAAAAGTGAACACATATTTATTTGAAATATGAAGTACATGTTTACAAATTAATTTGAAGTACAACTACAAATTTACAATTTTGAAATATGAAGTACAAGTTTACAATTTTGAAATATGAAGTACAAGTATAAATAAATTTGACAAGTGCTATAAAATACATTTTGTAATAAATTCTAAAATACTAATCAATCGGAATCTCCGGCATAGGTAGAGCCACCATCGGTTGTTGAGTTATCCATAAAATCTTGGGAGGGGGTGATGCTCAATTCTTGAGTTCTACGTGCGGCCTTCAACCAATCGTGGTAGCATATAAGCGTCTCAAGAGACTCCGCGCTCAATCTCGATCTAGATGCCGTTAGGACGTTGCCGGCCGAACTAAATTCTTGTTCCACAGCAACTGTTGAAACCGACATTGATAGTACTTGCTTAGCCATCCGTGCTAAAATCGGGAACGTTCTTTCTTTTGACTTCCACCAGTCTAGAACGTCAAAGTCATCATTTTCTTCAAAATCAACTTCATATGTTAAATACAAAGTAATCTCATTCAATGCGCTTTGTTCAGTGACGTGAGTTGTTTTAGTTTTTTTCATAAGATTGCCAAATGCAGATTTAAAAATCGATTTTCCTTTAGATGAAGATGTTCGTGACGGGGGAGGGGGAGCGTTGCTATATTGTGCACGAAACTCATTAAATAAGGCATAAAATAAAGTACTAAGCTCGTTGTATTCCGTTTTCGGATCTATGGGGTTATCGTCATACATTGGAAATTCACCGAAAAACGCAAGATAATAGAAGTTGAAACAATCTTCCAAATTAGCAAGTCTATAACGAGGATCGAGAATAAATGCAATACCATAAATATGGGGAATATGCGCATAATATTTTAAAAACTTTTCCTTCATATGATCACAAAAAAAAATTCAGTAGCATTAAAAAAATATATCAAAACATTACAAATTTTTTCGCAAGTGTCGATCTCAGCCGCGTTTATAATATAGTTATCATGTTCTTTTAAAAAAGCAGGAAAATGTTTTTTATATCTAAGAACAACTTTAAGTAATTTATAAGTACTATTCCAACGAATACTCAAATCTTTAGGAAAAGCAACATATCTCACACCTCTTTCAGTCAAATAACTTTGTCATTTTAATCTAAGTTGACCATTACCCCAAATACGTCTAATCCCCCCCTTTATTACCTCCATGGAATCTCCTAACGCTTTTAAACCGTCTTGCACACATAAATTTATAACATGACATGCACAGCGTTGATGAAAAAATCTACCCATCAAAGAATTGGCACCACACAACTCACGCAATCTAGGTATAGCAACAGTATTATTAGTAGCATTATCGAAACCAATAGCAAACACCTTATCAATCAAATTATACTCAATTAAAATACGCTCAATCAAAATATAAATATGTTCAGCGGTGTGACGATCATTAAATTCACGAAAAGCAAGAACACGTTTATGCATATTCCAATCCTCATCAATATAATGTGCAGTCAGACCCAAATAATATAAATGATGAAAATCATCCTCCCATATGTCAGAACAAATAGTAACACGCCCATCAAAGTTTGCAAAAAAATTTTGTAATCTTATCTTTTCCGCATTATAAAGCCTTATTATTTCTTTCTTAACAGTTTTGCGACTATAATTTCTAAATTGAGGATTTAAACTACCTTGTGCATAATCTCTTAAAGCAAGACTTTCAGAAAACAAATAAGGCAAATTTTCTTCACAAATTAAGTTAGCCATACCAGTCAAATTTTGTGCATCATTGTAGGAGAAATTACCAAAAGGTTGAGAATTCGCAAACCTCGATATTTGAGTTTGCTTCCCCGTTCTGCCGCCTAATTTTGCATACTCCACGGGGTGCTTTGCCTTAAGATGCCTTGCGGCGGATCCGTATCCGCCGGAGGTTCCCAAACTATAATTGTTGTTGCACCACTTGCAAGTTGCGTGCCAATAGCCGGTTTGTGGGTCCTTCCATTTATCAAAATTATTTTTCATTAGTTCAGACTTACTTTTTTTATTACCGGTGGCGGTTTGGGATGAGGCAGGCGCGTCGGCGTCGTGGCTGCCGGCACCCTCCTCCTCGGCCGTCTCCGGTTCCAATTCCTCCGCATCTTCATCCTCAAGCTCCTCTTCGTCAATGGTCGTCGGCATTTGTTGTTGTTGTAGAAAGCGGTTATTATGTCGGACCAATTCTTGTTGGAGTTGTTCTTCGGACATCGCATCTCCATCTCGCCTTTGGTAACCCGTTTCAAAATCATCTCGGCTTTGAGATGAAGAACCGGCAAGTTCTTTACCTTTGCGGGATTTCTTCCCAATCTCGTTCCTTCGATTGCGTTGGAGGTTACCCAAATCAACCGAATATCTACCCCCTTCCATGTTAAAAATGTAACAAATATTAATTGACAACAAATATAATAATGGATACAAAACTAATGCAACTAATTAAAACTATTTTAATTAATACTTCAAACTAATTTAGTGCAAAGTATTAATTAAAATGTGTGACTTTAAAATTAAAATTATACCAACTTTTGAAGTACTTTAATTTAGTAAAAACTACTTAAATAAAATGTTAAGTACTTTAATTAAATGATTGAACTACTATTTCTTCCTACAAATATAAATTGAAAATAAGAAAATGTGACTTTAACTATAATGAATTAATGACAATTAACTAGTTTATTGAAGTAGAGTTGTTTTAACAATTAATGAGAATACTAATGAAGTAAATAACTAGTATAATGAAAAATGTAACAACAATGCTAATTAACTAATTAACTAGTATAATGACAAATGTAACAACAATGCTAATAAACTAATTAACTAGTATAATGAAAAATGTAACAATAATGGTAATGAACTAATTAACTATTATAATGATAAATGTAACAAGAATGCTAATTAACTAATTAACTAGTACAATACTAGTTATATTAAGTAATATATAATATAATATTTATAGTATATAATATATAAGTATACTACTATAAGATGAGTAATACACTTATATTTTATACTTTAATATATAAAGTATATATTAAGTAGATGTAGAATGTATGTATTAAGTGGATATAATAATTGTATAAGAATTAAATATTAGAGTATAATGGAGAATTGGAGATTGGAAAATAAGAAAATAAGTATATATAAAATAGATATTATAAAGTATATATAAAAGTAGATATTATAAAATAAGTATATAAAAAATAGAAATTATTAAGTAGAGAAGTAGATTTATTATGTATTAAGTATATAGTAATAGTTTATAAAGTATATTTAATACTTTATTATATAAAGTATATATTAAGTAGATGTAGTATGTATGTATGTATGTATTAAGAAATATAAGTAGAGATTAAGTAGATAAGAAATATAAGTAATATAGTATATGTATTTATAAGTAGATAATTAATATATAAATAGATATAATAATTGTATAAATATTAAATAGTAAAATAAAATATAAAGGAGAATAAGAGAATTTGAGAAGATGAATATGGAGAATTGGAGATGAGTAGAGAGTAGGATTTAGGGAGAGTTGGAGAAGAGGTGTGAAAAAATGTTTAAAATTAAGAGTATTTATAGGTTTTTTTTAACCCCCACCCCCCCCCCCCCACCCCCACCCACCCCCACCCCCAAATACCCCGGACCCCCCCTGGTACCCCCCCCCCCCCCCAACGGCTATATAGCCGTTTGGGAAGTGTATTATGAGCCAAAAGGTTTTTTTCAAATTAAAAAGAATTTTTTTTTTTTAAATCTGACCGTTAGGCCCGGGCCTCCAAAAACAGGACCCAAGCCCGGACCCGCTAACCCAACCGGTTCGGTTCCCGAACCGGACCCGAGAACCGGGCCGGTTCCGGGCCCGCACAGTGACGGGCCGGGCCGGTCCCGGGCCGGGCGGCCCGAACCGGGTCCAAGCCTATCCATGAGCATTAATTTAATTATTTCTAAAACAGAAGCGGAGGAACACGAACCACGTCTTCCTTCCTTGATTCTCCCGAAACAAGGGCACTGGTAGCAAGCTCAACTCCTACCTGAAACTGTGAGGTGGCCTCCCCCGTGAAGGGGAGGTCAGTACTTGGAAGCATTTGACAAGTACAATGACAACTATACTAAGTATAACCAATGTTTAAATTTCCAAGACTCTCAATCTAGGGTGTTATTATATTATAACAACCATGGATTTTATTGTGATAAATGTACTTTTACTTCATGAAAGAGGTCATGAAAGGATAAAAGTGATATTTTGATATTCAAACAAGATTTTACTTGGAAGAAGAATTAAATCGAAATACTATGAATCAAGAACTTGGTTATACTAAGGTCAAACGACTAGTATAGGAATACTAGTCGGAAATGTTAATTCGAATAATTTTAGGAACCAATCCAAAGATATTGAAATGGGAGGATCACACCTTAAGTAGCCTCAAGAGATATGTTAAGAAATGTTGTTTTAAGGTGGATTTTAGAAATCCTTAATTACATTAGGAGTGAGCCTTAAAGGTTACTCAAAATGAAGGGAGTCTAGGCTAAGAAAATTGCTTAGAGAATAGAGCTCGGCTTATAGTTATACCACATTTTGCTAGAGCTCGGCTCATAGTCACACCACATTTTGTTAGAGCTCGGCTCATAGTCACACTACATGTTGCTAGAGCTCGGCTCATGGTCATACTGCATTTTGCTAGAGCTCGGCTCATAGTCATACTACATAAAGCTAGAGCTCGGCTCATAGTCATCCTACATTTTGCTAGAGCTCAGATCATAGTCATACTACTACGTGCTAGAGCTCGACTCATAGTCACGTCATCTATTCTCTAAGCAATTTTCTTAGCCTAGACTCCCTTCATTTTGAGTAACCTTTAAGGCTCACTCCTAATGTAATTAAGGATTTCTAAAATCCACCTTAAAACAACATTTCTTAACATATCTCTTGAGGCTACTTAAGGTGTGATCCTCCCATTTCAATATCTTTGGATTGGTTCCAAAAATTATTCGAATTAACATTTCCGACTAGTATTCCTATACTAGTCGTTTGACCTTAGTATAACCAAGTTCTTGATTCATAGTATTTTGATTTAATTCTTCTTCCAAGTAAAATCTTGTTTGAATATCAAAATATCACTTTTATCCTTTCATGACCTCTTTCTTGAAGTAAAAGTACATTTATCGCAATAAAATCCATGGTTGTTATAACCATCATGCCATCATTTTTATAACACATAATCATACACAATTTACTCATAAATTTGTATATTATGCGTACTATACCTATAATCATTAGTAATTCCACTTAGGCATTATTTGTCATTGATAATCCATGCAAATCACATTGTTCTCATTTAGGTAATCTTATGAAATTAACTCAAAAATTATAAGCAATATAGTCGGTCATCCTCACCTTAAGTGAGTCCTTAGCGCGTTCTACGCTTCCCGATTGAACTTTGGCGAATTCCGACGAACTTTGATCAACTCCGGCGGACTTTGACCAATTCCGGCGAAACTCCGGCGAAACTCTAAAAATACTCAAGCAAGTTCCTAACGAGGTTTTAACATCATAAAACCTTAATTAATACAAATAACCTCTAAAAGGTTATTTTCCGGCAAACCGGTCGTTTTGGCCTTTAAGTCCATTCTTGGACTCAAAGTTACGTTTCAACCCATCATCCCACACTTAAAACATGTGGAACGATCCTAAAGGTTATTACCTTAATTTTCACACTTTTAGCACTTTAACTTCTTTTCTAGAGATACCTTCTTGTTGAGCTCCCTTTAACAATGGTGAGAGGTGGCTGGAGAGTCCCTTGTCTTTGCTTGGTGTGGGTTGGCCGAGAATGAGGAAGAAAGAGGGGTGAGATAATCCTTTTGTCTCATTGATCAAATGAGTGAACAAAAATGGGGGTCCATCATATGTACCTTTGATGCCTTTCCATTCAACCCCAACTAGGGGTGGGCACGGTCCGGGACGGTCCGGGATTTGGCTTATCCCGTTCCGTCCCGGTTTTATAACAACGGTCCGGTACGGTACGGGATAAGTCTTTATCCCAATGTTGTCCCATTTAAAACGGGATCGGGACAACCCGAGAAAAACCGGGACGGTTCGAAATGCCCCATAAAATATGCGTTTGTGCAATGTAATATAAAATAAGCTAACATCAAAATAAAGATGTAACTATTTTTGCAAATTTAGTTTCCCTAAAAATTTAAGTCAAACCTTTATTTAATTAACTAATTTTAATTTTTGTCTTGCAAATTGTTTTGGTCCCCCTAATCTTGTGTTTCCTCTAGTAGAATAGTAGAACAAAATATTTTTATACTTTGTAGTACACATGTAATTTTTCAATACTACATTAAATTAAATATCATATCTATAAAGACATTATATATATATTTGCTAGTAATTATTTGGGAAAATATTAAATCTATAACGACACTAGAATTTGGAGTAGTAGTTATTCCATCATACATAGTATTCCGCACGTAATAATATATTATGGATTACTATTGGGGTGAGAACTAAACAAATTTTAATCAAAAGAAACTAAAGAAATGAGACTAAGAGAGACATGAAATAAGATAAAATTACACTAGGAAGATTAAGGACTAGATCCAAAGTTTTAATTGGGTTTGGCTATTACATAACATTAGAAATTTAAAATAACATACTAATTTCAAACGGGACACCGGGACGGGACATGATATTTTATAGTTGTCCCGGTCCCGTCCCGGTTTATATCGGTGCGGGACCGGTTCGGGATGAAAAAATTGCGTCCTAAATGGATCGGGATAGTTTCGGAACGGTATCGGGATTTTTCGGTTTGGGACACCAGGACCGGGATTTTTGCCCACCCCTAACCCCAACATCTCCCACCTTCCCCTTTCCATTCCAGCCGCCCAACCCCTTAGTTTACATGACTAAATTCGTGGGTTGGCCCCCACCCATGTGGGAGGTCAACCCTTTTTGTCCAGAAGTGTACAATCGATTCCGAAAGTTATATTTTTCGGACTTTTAAATATATTTTATTTTATCGGGTCAAATAAAATATATTACATGTTCTCAATCATTATGACTCTCATAATGAATATACATTCCCCAACTTTAATTTATAAGTCTCCGAAATTCATTTCGGGCTGTTATCTGTGAAATTGCCAAAACCGGTATTTGAGCCACTTTTGACCAATTGGTCCACATTATGTCTTTTCTTTGGCCCAGATAATTTATCCACCACTATATAAATTATCTCGACCAAGACGAATAAAATATATGGTCTCGGGAATATCGGGCGATCCCCGATCCCGGTGTGGGCCCCACGTGAAAATTTACTATTCACGCAAAGGCATTAATAAAAATTCACGACTTCGTAAATTCCTT